AGACATCTTAGGGGGCTGCTTTCGCATGCCACTCTGGGCCTTCCCTGGTACTCCATCAGGGGCACTGCTGTCGCTACACGGTTACGCTCGTATCGTCCCACAAGAACTGGGTGGCTGCCGCCGCCCAGACATCTTAGGGGTCTGCTTTCGCATGCCACTCTGGGCATTCCCCGGTACTCCATCAGGGGCACTGCTGTAGCTACACGGTTACGCTCGTATCGTCCCTCAAGAACTGGGAGGCTGCCGCCGCCCAGACATCTTAGGGGGCTGCTTTCGCATGCCACTCTGGGCCTCGGGCAGCTTTCGCTTACCGTCATGGACCGCTGACCACACGTCAGCACCTTCACCCCGCCTGCCAGGGCTGGGGGTGCGTATTCTATCCACAGTACCATCTTGTTCCTGCTGCGGTTCGCCGTCTTCACCAAACCCTTTCGGGCTTTAAGACCTCAAATTGACGTCATTGTGGCTGTCAGATAACTCTGCATTCGACTCACCACTAGACGGCTCTTCAGCCTCACCCACAGCACCTTCCTGCCACGCAAGCTTTTCAACCAACTGGCGCATAGCAACAGCCGCCCTCGCTGACGGTGACCCATTCCGTCCTATACCCAAAATAGCCTTCACCCCAGGGGGAACAGGCACATTCGTATCATTCAGTCACTGTCACCGGATCAGCGACTGCGGTACAACAATCATCGTAGCGCCAGCCCACATTAACGCCCACTCGGACGCCCTCAGTTGGTCGAAGCCGACCGACACATCACACCCCATTGGGATCTGGGTCACCACATAAAATGGCTGCCCTTCCACCAACGCGAAGCTATCCTGATCCACCAGCAGGTAATATTCTAACTGCTGCCAAGAAACCACATGAGAGGTATTCAACTCCCCCATATTATCTAGTCCACTCAACGGCGGTCCATCATACGGCCCGTCAGGTACGACTCCTATGCGCTGCAACGCGTCCCTCGTTGATTTTTGTAAAATTTATGAAAAAGGTTTGAAAAGACTTCACAGCCACCACACCGGTTCGATTGGAACAGGGGCTTTCGACCCAAGATATGACGAATAGACAACCATGGTGGATGAATTTTAGGAGGAAAAAGGTTTAGTAGGTACCATCAGCTACGCCTTCAGTGAAGAAATACCAATATTTTGTTGTTTTACCATTATTTCATTTTCTACTGACGATGTGCGAAATTCAACAGACGTGTGAAATTTAACAGTAGAGGCAATGATCATGTTGGGTAGTAGAATTATAATTTTGAAATTTTAAACTGAAACACTCTATGTTTCATATATTTGTAGATTCCAATGACTGTACAATGTGCGACAATGATAGACAGTTTCTAGGACAGGAAGGAACTAACTAGACGGTGTATATTTAACTATAAACAACTGCTCTTGACTACGCACGAATGATAAAAAGCTACTCTTTAAGAACCACTTTATGCTGGAAGGTGATAGAATTTGTATTGTGAGGCTCGTGCTTGTAGGCTTGCGCTTGAAAAGTACCGGAATACCACATGGGTGACGAATCGATATGTCCCAATCTTTTAATTGCTTCAACCACTCAGGAGCAGCTGAGAAGATTGCTTTTGGCTTTGCGTGAACCTAAATCTATCATAATTTTGTACTGACCTTTATTATTTGATTGAAAATTTCTATATTTGCCACATCTATGATAAACCGTAAACGACATAAGTTAATACTGTACACGATCCGATGGAAGAGTTGTACACCTTCCAATACCTCCTCAAACGTAACGAGTAAATCCGTGGCTCCTCCAAGTTAGACAAATATTCGCAAGGAAGAGAATTCAGGGGTGTACGAAGAACATATACCATGATATGTGTAGCATCTAGGGACCAGATTATCAAAAAGCCAATACAAATCCCAAAGCCTCAGAATCATCAAATATTGAGTTTTGGATTAGGATTCAATTATTCCTGATATTGTATTCATCAGAAATATTAGCGGTAGAACCGGCAAGCTATACCGGGACTCCGCGTGTGAGAGAAACACTCAAGTAGAAACCCGAGTCTAGTGGATTAAAAAACTCAAATAAAGACTCAGTTCGGTTCCTCAGACAATGGACTTTTCCTAGATGAGATAACCGTACTTGAGAAGAGGTCTATTGTATCCTTTGGTTCGTACCTTTCAGCTACTCTCCATTCTCTACATATGTGATACTGCCCGCGAAACGTCTCATAACGATTTTTGATTGAATCACTTGGGTATAAATTACGAGTTATGTAATACGCCGCCACTTGCAAAATACACGTATGCGCAATGCTCTCTATCAAGATACGCGATATTTCGGCACTCTACTAATCTCATACATCGGAATCCGACCCATGTTTTTATCAGATTAAATCACACGTTCAGCAAAAAAAACTTTATAGACAGCAATATGCTGTATTCGGCAGTCTATACAGAGTAAACGTTTCGCCAATTCAAAACGATTTTCCCCATTTGCCTATTGTACTGCAAAATGCCCATTTGAATACCAGTTGAAATCTGCTTTCGGTATGTTTTAGAATTATCGGACATATATTATTCGTTCACGATCAGTTAATTTGCTGGACTTGGAGTTGATACTCAACCTCGAGCCAAATGTAACACCTACCATTTGAAATCACATCGCCAGTAATGTTTGACGGAAGTCTCAATATGCGTATTACGGTCATGCTCAGATACCCAGATAGTCTCACGTACGGAAATATTTAATATAATATATCCATACAACAGTGTGCGCCATCTCACGGATACTGAGCAATGGTGGAAATAATAAATTTCCTTTTACAATTGTGCAACCCAATAAATAGGCTTAACGGGGCCCACCCTTTCTATGTGTTCTATCAACTTGTCGCAGTATGTACATCAAAACTCTATTTGGAACTTATGTGATTCTAATATATAAAGATGGTAGAATTAAAAATTATACGTCTAAACAAAACACGACCATAAACGAACAGTGATTCTTAAAATCTGACGAGCACCGCATTTGTCAATATAAAATCACTCAGAGGAAGAACAGGAAAATAAAGATTCTAAATTTGTATAGAAATGAATATAGAAGTCCAACTGGTGTAGTGGTAACATAGATGATTTCCATTCATCTGCCATGGGTTCGATTCCCGTGTTGGAGAGTTTTAGGGTTTTTAGGCAGAATCCTGGCAAAAGAGAAAATAATTTTGTATCAGAGAGCAAAATAATTTTGATTCAGTTGAATGCCTCCAGCTGACCATTCTACATACTGGCGCAATAAGTGTTTAAGGAACTGTTATTTTCTTTCCAGGTCTGCGATATTTGAGCATACCTTTGAAGTAACTAAACTCCAAATTACTGTAGTAAATAGTCAGTATATATCAAGTGAATACAAAGCAAACCAAGATGCGCATATTGGAGATGCCATCGTTGTGAAAGTGATTACACTTGCACTGTGGAAATTAACTGCAACGCTTTTTCAATATTTTCGGGTTACATCATACCATTTCTGTTACTTTATACTATAGAGCGAGGCGTCGACTATTCATAAATGTATCAATTTGGCGTTCTTGAGCCCAATTAGAAACACGAGTGTCTTATTAACAGATATAGTATATCGGAAACACAGCGATGACGGTCTTCGACGATAAACATCTACTGGTTTAATTGTCTTCTCAGTTAATGAGTACGCCGTATAGTAAAAGGAGAGCGGAATCCAATGCTGTATTCTGTTGTAGAGATATGAGTAATTTACTCGACTGTCCCAAATGAAACGGCGAGAACTGAATACAAGGTGAAATTGTATGCGATATGTGCATTGAGCAGAAAGCTCGCGTCGAAAAAAAAATATCTCAGCGGAATTGATACCACTCAACATGAGAGTTTTCTCGGCCAGAATCGAACTGACGACCCTCACGGTGTAAACATGATGTGATAACCCCTACACCACGAGAAGATATGCCATAGATTTTAATAAAGCTATTTATACTCAAATTTTAAATCGTTTGAGCTACCCAAGATTTTTCTTCTTCTTCTAGAATTCAATATGTAAATTTAAAATAAACAGGTCTGTACCGAATTGCACAGATCCACTCTTGTTGCAAGTTTAGTTTTCCCGTCACAGCACATATTCACATTAGAAAACCAAATATGTTGCTGGCTTCAGAACCAAATACGTTACCGTCATCAAAGTTAGAAGCCATAACTGATATATATAGTGCTAGCGTTAAAATCAGGATATTTGGATAAAAAAGTGAACGCGATTGTGTAAAGCTTACAAACACCCAGAGCCGTATGACCAACCGCATTTATAGTTCTCAATCAATTTTATTATGTTCAACGTATCAGCAGATAAAAGTGAGCAGTATATCTGGTGTACACTACTCTTGGATGACTACTAGATAACTATTTATAAGGCTCCGAGAGTCTGCTTCTCTTTGAGCATATCAGTATATTCTCCAATGTCAATGTGCATTCGAGCGACACCAGAATTGATCGCAGCTTCAGCGACGGCAGGTGAGATATGGTACAGCAGGCGTGGGTCTGCAAAATGTGAATGATTCAGAGAGAAAGAGATGATTCATACTGAGAGCAAGTTACAGACCAGAACAATGATATACAAACACAAAATCAAGCGCGAATCCTTGGAAAGACAAACAGAATATGACTTAACATATAGCGTCTGACCAAACGAAATAGACAAATAGAACACAAGAGAGCATAGCCAAGCACCTACCAAGAGCATCTGGAATAATATGCTTAGGGCCGAATGTGTCATCCGATCGCGCCAAATTGGCGATGGCTTGCGTAGCGGCCATCTTCATATCCTCGTTGATTTTGCTCGCGCGCACATCCAAGGCACCACGGAAGATGTATGGGAAGGCACACACGTTGTTGATCTGGTTGGGTAGATCCGACCTAGCAGGGGAGATACGATAGAACATATTAGCATGCTCTCTAGCAAAGCTAAGCACAAATGTACGGTGCAACAATTCCGCGAGAGATGTGAGCATTCGCACCGAGAAATTTAAAAGGTCATGCAAATTGTAATACGTATCCGTACAGAATCACAACGTCTATAACCACTAAACTTGCTTTGTGTATTAGAAACATATTCTAATGCAACCACTAAAAAGCAGCTTCAAAACTCGTCAACCCAAATAATTATACTGCCAACAAATAATTCAGATCGACGAGACCAGTACGCATACCTGCCGGTACCCATTATACAATCGTCTCTAGTGCGCATTGCCAAGTTATAGTCAATCTCCGGTGTGGGGTTGGCCAGCGCAAAGACGAGAGGAGAGTTATTCATCTTCAACAGCATCTCGGGAGTGAGGCAATTGGGAGCGGAAAGCCCACAGAAAGCATCGGCACCTTCTATAGCTTCAGACAACGTTCTGCAGGAAGGATCGGGCATCATTGTGAGAGTGAGAGGTAGAAGTATCGATTCAGGATGCGTGACGTAAGAAAGACAACGCGATCAGACACCATATTCGCACGAACAGCCAGTACTCAGATAAAAGGTAGCTGAGATGTGGGCATCACAAAACTTTCCACAGCTAATAACAAAGCCGAAGGCGACTATTGTAGTAGTCAAATATTTTAGCTATTGTAGTAGTTAATTACTATAGCTATAATAGCGGTAGTGGAAGGACTGAAAACCGCGGAAACGGACAGTCGAAAACTTGAATAACAAAGCCGAATACGCGAGAGAATAGCCGAAACACAGAGGGCGCGACTGACTACAGACTACTTCAGCGCCCCTTTAGATGGGCATTGGAAAGACAATGCACAACACGCATATCAACCTGAGACCAATGGCATCTTGTGATATTTTAGAACGAGTATTTCTTGTGGTACATTCATAGTTAAACACGGGAGGGGCATGTGATGCGACGGGAGTAAGACACAACTTTCACACATCCTCCGAACAATGTAGCTACAACACCGTTAACACGGTAAACCTACTCAGAGAGAGATAAGGTTCTTTTAAGTCGTAAATGAATATCACAACCGCATAAAACAAGAACACAGCCCTACATCCCACATCGGCAGTGTGGGAGTGGAGTCGTCTGATGCACAAACCTGAATGGAGACTCCGTAGCAACCTCGTGTAAGTAGAGCTTAGGATCGGCTACCAGGTCTCCGCGGCCCTTGTAGACAACACCATCCTTATCGCAGCAGATGACATTCTCCTTCTTGACACCTAACCGCACAAAGTGCTTAGCACACGTGAAACCGGCAGCACCACATCCATTGACCACAACCTGTTAACACACACGGGTGATTTTAATATGAGTAGCCATTTGAATGCATAATAGTGTGATCACCTACACACACATGTACTTTTATTTATAAATATATAAACACGTACATATATATACATACATACATGCGTATATAAACTCTTCTCGACACCTAACCACACACAGTGCTTCACGCGGGCTAAACCCGACAGCACCACATCTGTGCACCACCACCCAATCCGCATTCAAGTAAATTGTGGCGTGAGTGGCAGAAAGTGCCCTAAGTAGTGCTAAGCTTTAGTTGGAGTCCACTGGTGTGGTGTATCCATGCAGGTCCTTTGTAGCATGTGTGGACGGTTTCAGTCTTTACAGGCGCCGCGAAGCGATTCGATCCGTCAACAAAAACAGAGACTAATTACGCTAGACACGCAGATGATACCACAAACAAGAGCAGGCTGAGTGAGCAAACCTAGACACAGTGCACTCTATACAGCACACGTGTAAAGCCTGATAGCGATCCACTAGCAATACTATAGTAGCCTAAACTACCTAATCCTGCGTATGCACGTATACAGCATACATGTAAAGCCTGTTAGTGATCCATTAGCAATACTATAGTGGCCTAAACTAACTAATCCTGCGTATGCACGCATACAGTACACGTGTAAAGCCTGTTAGCAATTCATTAGCAATACTATGGTGGCCTAAACTACCTAATCCTGTGTATGCACGCATACAGTACACGTGTAAAGCCTATTAGCAATCCATTAGCAATACTATAGTGGCCTAAACTACTTAATTCTGCGTACTCACTCAGAGTCTGCATACCTTAACATCAGCTATGTTCTTTCCCGCTATTCTCACGGCGTTTACTAGACCGGCTCCCGCAATAATAGCGGTACCATGCTGGTCATCGTGCATCACGGGGATGTTCATGCGTCTCTGGCATTCTGGTTCAATATAGAAGCACTCGGGCGCCTTTATGTCCTCGAGATTGATGCCTCCGAAAGTGGGTTCCAGACTGACAATGGTGTCGATAAGCTGTGCGGGTCGAATAGTCGTAGTGCGTTTGATTAGTTAATTGTCTACATAGGGAATATCTGGCGAGCGTATGCTGCTAGATTCTGCTAGCGTCGGAACAGATAAGAAGTAAAGAAACGGTTTTGAGGTTTTTGCGCGAATGTTCCCACCAGCTCAATGGACTAGGTTAATGGGGGCCCTGAGCCAATGATGACTATAACAAAGTCCGAGGTATAACTTTATTCATTCTACATTGACATACACCGACGTACTTATCAGTAAACCATCAGGCAGAGTGCAAACACCGCCCGATAACACGCACACACTCATGGTTCTCGAATCAACTACAAACAGCACAACGAAATGTTTATTCATCAATACCTGCCTATACGGACCATAAGATGGTAAAGAAGCTGTGAACTACAAATCACACACACCCAGCCACCCACCCATATATACATATACATACATACATATATATACATTTACATATGTATATTACATATACCTACCTTATCAGGATCTTGCTGATCAATCTCAACATCAAACGAGTCCACACCTCCAAACTGCTTAAACAGAACGGCCTTGCCCTCCATCACAGGCTTGGAGGCTAGAGCACCAATGTTGCCCAGTCCCAGCACAGCCGTTCCGTTAGACACTACACCTACCAAGTGACCTCTGAGAGCATAGTACAACGAGGCGCAGTGGGAGATCAGTATTGCGCCAGTACTTACGAGAGCGATGATACCCCATACAAGCAAGCACTGCCAGTGCACATGGTATTACAACAAGGCATTCTCACAAGTAGTGTGTATTGAGACTCTACAACGCACGCAACGAGTGCCACGATGTCAGATCCCAAGTACAGCAGGTGGCATATAGCTGGCATGTATCTAAGTTCTAGGTCTCAAGTACAGCAGGTGGCATATAGCTGGCATGTATCTTAGCTCTAGGTCTCAAGTAGAGCAGGTGGTATATAGCTGGCTTATAGCTGGCATGTATCTAAACTCTAGGTCTCAAGTACAGCAGGTGTCATATATCTGGCATGTATCTAAGCTCAGGTCTCAAGTACAGCAGGTGACATATAGCTGGCATGTATCTACGCTCTATCCTGATACGAGATGGCTCACCTGGTGGTGTATTCGTATGATAGATCGGGATTGTCCTTGATAGCCAGGCAGGGTTCCGCAACTCCGGGCGAGTAAGCAATGGACAGAGCAGACGCAGACCCGAGGTTCTTTGTGGGCATAATTTCTAGCTTACCCTAAATGGTAGCAACGAGAACGTTTCCAGCGGTTAGCCACATAATAAGATCTGATTATGACAAACCTGCTTCTCGAGATACGCAATACCATAGTCTTTACACATGCACGGGCTTCGGTGTAGTATCGAGTTGATGTTCGTTTATACTGTGTTGCGCCAAGGCGTGTGCTTGTGCGAGTGCTATTCTTTTAACCACGAGCATACTGTACTTACACACACGCATTGTATGGGAACACAAAAGATTGTCAGGGATACATATACAGACAAACGTACACATACACATACACGTCTTCGCTGCATCGGACTATGTATATTATAATGTGTATTCGCGTGATCGCATGACCTAGTTGTATGTTCCTTCGTGTTTCTATTTTGGCACCGGTTCAACCAAGAATGTTGTTCTATATACTCATCCCCTCCTGGAAATCAGACCCACATAGTCTATGCGGACATGACACACCAGAACGGTCTTATATATATATATATATATATACAGTATACTATTCAAGTTCCAGTATAAGTTTCCCAACCCATCTTCATATTTACGAATGACCTTAAGATAACTTGGAATGGAAACACCTATTCTCACATCACTGAAGAGGATCATCGACCACTACCTAAGAATCCAAACGTAAGCCTGTAATTGTTAGTCGGAGAGCCAAGTAAAACTATATAATAAATACTATTCCAGAAGGATTCTCCTTCCAATAGTATTATGGAACTGTGAGTAGATAGATCTGCAGCTTAAATTACTCGTGCTGTTTCGGCATAACTCTTCCGTCATGACGTAACAGCACAAAATACTATAAGCTGTAGAGCTATCCTACTCCAGTTCCATAATACTATTGAAAGGAGAACCCTTCTAGCATAGTATTTGCTTTATCGAGCTCTCCCCACTAACAATTACAAGTACAACGGCTAATACCACACCACAACTCCATATATCACAAAACACTATACATTCAATAGAGACATCCAACACATAAAGACAAACCTTCTTGCCGAGTGAGTGGTACTTGAGTGCATATCCGAGTAGCAAGGCCTTGTGCTCTGTGATGAACTTGCTCTCGCTAGCCGTGATCGGCCCGTTCTTCTGCTTGGCCTCTATCTGATCCTTACTGTGCATTGTCCGTTCGTACATGATGGTACCCATGCGCTCAATCAGTTTGGTGGCGCCCTGCATTCAGAACAAGCAGACGTTTCCATGCACCGAGTTTATATATTCGTACATATTCGCCCATACATTGAGGTATATATCCGTACATATTCGTAAGACTCGGCACTCCTCATCAAATTCTGATTTACAAACCAGGTTAAAATAAGCCAGACACCTTTCCCAAAATATAAAAATCAGAATAAAGATCACGGCGCGGATACGTCCGTAGATTTGAGGACATGCATAATGCAACTGAACACATCAGCAAGGAGTGGTGAGGCACAATATGGCCTAAGAGTTGGGGAAGCATACCACGGACCTATACAACAAGGTGAGAGTAGTTGAACAGGCGCGTGGTAACTCATCCTCGAGCATACCCTTGTACAGTGTGGGTGTAGAGTGTTCATTGGTTCTTTGTGGTTGTATAGCGAATAAGTACTTTATAGTTGATTAGTGTAAATTAGTTATCCGTGCGTAATCAATGCGAATTGACTCGGTTTGCTTGTTTGCGAATCCGTACTTTGCGCTCATTGGTACCTTTGTGGTTGTATAGTGCGAATTCATTCATTGTAGTTGTTTAGTATAAACTAGTTCTATGTAGTCGTGACTAGTGCGCATTGATACCCCCTCCTTGTGATTGGACAGCGCAAACTAATTAATCAGTGCGAATTAGTTCTACGTAGTTGATCAGTGCGAACTAGAAGCCCATAGTAATTTAGTACAAATCCATACCTTGTGGTTGTTCAAGGCCAGAGCCGAGACATCATCCCTGGGAATCTTGATCACGTCACAGGCAGTAAGCGCCTTAAACTTCAGAATAGCCTTCTGGTCAACAAACAGCTCACGCATAGAGAAGAAGGCTTGTTCCGGGTGAGCACTGTGTGGTTGGGGATGGGTGAGGTGAGAACGGCGCATACATTACATGCATTCACCAGCACACACCACTGCTTTACCTAGTTAATGGCACACACACAACACACCACTACGCACACAAAATATATGCACTGATCAGTACACATCACTGCTTTACATTGATAATGGTATACACACAACACACACCACTACGCACACACATTACATGCACTGATCAGCACACACCACGGCTTTACCTAGTTAATAGTACACACACAACACACACCACTACGCACACACATTACATGCACT